ATTTAATAATAATAACTTTAATAACTTTCAAAATTAACAGGTGATGCGGAAAAGGTAAAGCGATTGGATGCTCTTGTGACTAGAATGGCAGGTTTCGAAAAGCATTATGCCGTTACTGGACAAACTTATAGTCGAAAAGTCGATATAGAGTCTCTGAACGTTTTGAGTTCACTCGGTGCGACTATTCATAAGGTGAGCCTGAATTAACATGTTTTTTCCGCGATTATGCGAAAAACTGTCAAAGCATGATTGCCAAAGCATCGAATACCTCTCTTTCTTCAGGAGAAAACTTAAACTTAACTTCCGCCAAGCTTATAATAGACTGTCTGCGATATATTTTCTAGAAGTTAATTTTTTCCATCTGCTTTTAAACTAATTAAAAAAATTTTTTTTAGATTTGTACAGACATTCGTCTTCTCGCTAACATGAAGGAAATTGAAGAGCCCTTTGAGAGTACGCAAATAGGCTCCAGTGCGATGCCTTACAAGCGCAATCCGATGCGTTCGGAGAGATGCTGCAGCGTAGCGCGTCACCTGATGACGCTAGTAAACAATGCTCTTCATACCGCGGCGACACAATGGATGGAACGAACGTTGGATGATTCGGCGATTCGCCGGCTCACCCTGGCAGAGGCCTTCCTGTCGGCCGATACGATTCTTATGACACTCCAGAACATTACAGAAGGTCTAGTCGTTTATCCCAAAGTTATCGCCAGACATGTGGCGCAGGAGTTGCCCTTCATGTCCACGGAAAACGTGATAATGGCCATGGTAAAGGCCGGCGGTGACAGACAGGTGAGAGAGAGAGAGAGAAAGAGAGGCTGTGATAATTTTCAGCACATTCATATTTTTTTAACAAAGCTGTCCAAAATCATTAAGTATTTTAGAATAAAATTTGATTTGACACAATTCTCTGTAACATTAATAATTAAAGATTATTACAAATATAAATAGTCAATTATCATGCGTGTATATTGTCTGTATTTACCGTAGGTTTGTCACGAAAAAATTCGCGTATTATCGCAAGAAGCCGGAGCGCAAGTGAAACAACATGGATTGGATAACGATTTGGTTGAGAGAATTAAAAGAGATCCATACTTTGCGCCGATTTTACCTCAACTAAGCGATTTGTTAGATCCATCGACGTTTATTGGTAGAGCGCCCGAGCAAGTCGTCGAGTTCATCGAAGAAGAGGTGTATCCTGTGCTCGAAAATTACAAAGGATTGGAAAGCGGGAGCGTCGAGCTTAATATTTGACCCGAAAAAGGGATTATTAATATTGTTACAGTAGATTCTTCATTATTTTTCCGAAGAAATCTTTGTACATTAAATTTTTTTGCTAAATCGAGAGTCTAATTAGCTATTAGCTCGAATTTGTTCAGGGATAACAAAAACATATGTACAACTATTCATTGTTAATACTTTTTTTGTATTCATAAGTTTAATAAAATTATAAAAAAATAATTCGCACTGTTCGCCGCACATACGCGCACGTGTCTCCATCGTTACTTAATTCAGAGTTGCACAACTGACTGAGTTGAAAATCATCGTAATACCCGCGATGTTAACTAGCGAAATAAGTCAATTGTACAACTCTGACACAATTAATCACTAATTATTTCTTTTTTGTTTACAATTTTTTTTGCCAATTAGTCTTCTCTCCGACGTAACTACTGTGATAGCGAAAACTTGACAGATAGATAGACAGATAGAAGAATAAACAGAGTGCAGAACAGGTAGATAGATAAAAAAAGAAAGATAAATAGACAAATAATGTACAGTAAGTAGATTAAAAGAGAAAATAGAATTAAATAGAAAAAGAATGTATTATATATAAGACAGAAAATGTAGAGACGAAAGAAAAAGGAAAAAAACAGGTAAGAGAATTTTGACAAGAAAAATATAGCGTATAGGTTTTTTAAAAGTGTTAAAAGAAATTTAAAAAATGAGAAAAAATAAATTTAAAATAGAAAATAGTAATGAAACCAATGAATAGAATTAGAAGTAATAGAACAAAAAGTCAAATGCAAGAAAGCGTAGAACTACGATGAAGAAATGAAAGAAAGAGAATGAGAGTGAAAGCATCGCAGAAAAGTAGAAAGAAGTAATGTATGGAAATAAAATAGGTGGATAGAAGTTTAAAGAAATAATATTGTAGTCTTAAAGAGATAGATAAAGAAGAAAGTGTAGAGAAAGATTTAAATAAAAAAGAAATATAGAAAAGTAGAGAAGTTTTGAATATTGGAAGCAAAGTTTGGTCAAGACAATCAAGAATGCAAAGATACTTTTGACCAGTGAAAAAAGATAGGAAAGAGAAGAAAAATATATAAAGATTTTAGCAAAGGAAGAAACAAAATAAAGACGAAAAAAGACTAGAAATATAATTAGTGAAAGAAATATGGAAAAGAGGGACACGCAAGTGTTGAGCCGGGAAAGTCGATCTGTAATTATGTTATTATAGTAAAAAATATAAAGCAAAATATAGAGCAAAATAAAATATTGAGAGAACAAGGAGAAAGTTAATGTGTACAAGAACACGAGAAAAATAGGGTCGAAGAAAGTGCAAAGCAAAAGATAAAAATCAGAGAAATTTGTATTAGTTTATAAAATATCATTAAAATTTTTTTCTACGAAGAAAGAAAATATTATACATTAGAATATGTATTATAAAATGTTAATACAGACATAGAGTAGAATATAGACATAGAATAGAATAAGCACAACGAAAGATCGAAAATAACTGCAATACAATAAACCACATAAAGAATAGCATTTTGTTGGAAAAAAGTTGACAAGATGAATATTTTGTTAATTTTAGCATTACTGAGTTCTCTGCAAAAGCATTATTAAGTTCTACCAAAAAATATTAAGTAAATGATTGAGCAAAGAAAAACAGCTATCACAGAGTGTTAAATTCATCAAGAAGTTTTCGTCTTCGATGTTTGTAACAATATTTGCAAGAACATTTTAAAAATATTTTTGACTGAATTAGTGAAGATCCAATAATTTAAAAACCTGATAATCATGTTGATTTTATTGCATCTATGTCTTGTAATTCTGATCGTTTAACGTTTCGCAATTCTATTATCAAATTTGCAAAATATTGCTAGCCAAAAGAAAAATAATCAAATCACGCAATTCGGAATTCTTTATCAGATGTTACTTTTTAATGTACATTTTTCTGTTTATTGATTTTTTTCCGAAATTTTATTGAATATTTAAACTTTGATTATTCGTTAGAGTTACTTTTGGTATGTGATTTTCGATTTTGTTTTACTGATGATTGATTTGAAAATGATCCAGCTTATCTTTTGTAAACACGATGACCTGTGAATGTCGCTCCGTCGTTGATTTTCCCGGACTCAACGAAGACGGCAAGTTGATCGCCGGCTTCGACGTCCAACAGGACAAGATTGCTTCCTCCGCCTGGACCAGCACCGACAACCGCTTTCCAGCTGTCGGACTTATTTACTTTGCGTTTCAGTGTCAACCGCAGATCCATACTACCGTACCCGGCGAAGCTGAATTGATAGAGGCCTGGACAATGCGTGGTGAAGATCCCCGTTTGCGCCGCATAACCGACACCTTTGTCCACCAGAGTCTCGGCGAGAATGAGTTTAGTGTCCTACGTAGGTAAAATGTTCTAGTTAGTGACACTTGTCATCAATTTTGCGAGAAACAATTTTTTTATCGAGCTGCAGAGTGTTGACGGAACGTAATTTTAAGGAACAAAACGGTATGTTCTTTTTTTTCAGCTTAGAAGTGTTGTTTTCTTGAAGCAAATAAGTCGAATTATCTGTTAGGTCACAGATTTCTACTCGTCATATATTTCATTGCTGAAACGTAAGATTGTTAATTGCGATATTAACTCACATTCACTGAGCCTTGAGTGGCGGAGAAGGCGACGACCCCGGCGCAATCGGCGGCAGTCGCCAATTTCTTCGAGCCGATCGTAGTGATACCAGGAGAATTTTCCGGTGAATCTGATGTTGTTGCATTGATCAACGCGGCCACTGCCAATATCAGCACCGCCCACACCACCCTATTCATGCAAGTAAATAAATCTATCAGCAAATTGATTGAATCAAACTTATAAGTACAAATATTTGAATGAATAATGAAAAGTAAATTATAAATTCTATTTAGATATTCCTTAAAAAAATTGAATTTTTCTTGTAATTAACATTGAATTAATAATTAATTAGTTGAAGTTTCGGATACGGAGTTCTGAATCAATCTGTGAAGTGAAATAAATTCTGCATCGCACTTTGAAACCGTGCGAAAAAAGATACTCGGACATTCAACATCGTGGCACGAATGCAGTCAAGGCGACCTGTTCTTATATAATGTTTCATGTAGGCGTGCGAAGAAATTTTTTGCGCTTGTATCGTTTCTTTTCGCTCAACTAACGTTTAATCACCAGTGCGACCATTCCCCGGTAAAGTTCACTTGGTTCGCGCTACTTTCACTGCTCGCGGCTACTTCTCGGCCGAGTCTCCAATAGCTCGTCCGTCTCTTATATCTCTCCTTTCTCCCTTTGTAAAGTCACATCGCGAACTTTTCATTTTTTTTATTTCCTCATACAATCTCTTTCTTGGATGCGACTGAAGGTTATTGTTATCAACGTTCGTGTAAGTACATTGGCATATAAAAGATTCTAGGCAATGCCTTTATACTTATTATGTTTATTTTATGTTATATCGATGTACAATAAGTTAGTTAAAAATGTTTTGTAAAATTTTT